CAAGAGTCCCCAGGTCTTGCCACACAGCTGGTCAACCAGGTCTTCACCCGGTTCACAGGAGTCTATTGAACATGGTCGGACTTAGCTCCCAGCTTCCTTTCTGTTTTTCCCTCACTTCCCCTTATCGGTGTCGAACGTGGTCACCAATCAGAGTGCATGTCTGCTCATGCATTCCCACTGAGTCTTAGTCTTAGAAGAACATTTGCCCTGAGGGGACACGACCACTGGCCTTGCTCCTGGGTAATGCTGTTTTGCATCATTTACAACTTTTCTTTCTTTCCGGACTCATCTGTACTCTGCATCTCAGGGAATCTGGACTTCTCAGAGGTCAGGCTTGCAAGACCACCAGTAAGGGAGAGCAGAGGGGCCTCAGCCCTTTGCACAGCGCTTTCCTCAGGAATTCGGAGCAAGAATTCCTGCCCATGCTGCTGAGCTGGGTGTGTGTGGGGCTGGGGGATGGGAGAAGGGGAGGCAACTCTCCAACAAACACCTTGGGGTTGGGGGAGAAAGGCGGGCTGGGGTCCCCTGTGGATCATCACCATGTTGGGGTTCCATCACTGCAGTGGACCTTTCCTGTCCTTCAACAATGGGGGAGTTGTGGATAGAAGAGCATGAAAGAAAGAAAACCAGTTGCTGATTCCAACTCCTAGCAGCCCCCTGGGGTCAGAGTAAGTCGGCATTCCCCAGGGTTTCCAATGGCTGAGGGTTTTGGTCTTTCAATGTACCTCTAGGTGAACTTGAACTGAGTAACATTTCACACCATCAGGGACACAGAGACACAGAAGAGCACAGACAGAAACAAACAAGCAAAAAGATGGAAACACGCGCACACACACACACACACACACACACACACACCTGACCCTTCTCCCCTTTCTCAGAAATAGGAAGGAATTTCTGGAAACATACACACACCCACATGCATATACACACACATGCAGTCCCACATACATGTGTACACACAGGAGAGCCCTAGGTGCATGTGTGTCAACATGAGTGTGTGGGCATAGAACAGAGAGAGACCTGTGGACACAGAAAGACAGGAATGTACACAAACATTTGTGCACAGAACAGCGAGAGACATGTGTACACAGTGTCATGCATATACACAAACATGCGTGCACAAAACAGCGAGAGACATGTGTACACAGAGTCATACATGTACACAAACATGTGTACACACACCCCCTCCAGCACTGAGCGCAGCCCCCTCCTGGGTCTTACTTGGCCACCTTCTTGGGTCTCAGGCGGGGCAGCTGCGGGCCTCCATCTCCCAGGGGCTGCACCTTGCCGTGGGGCACAGAGGGGCACTTGGGTGAGAGCCTGGCAAACACGGGAGAGGTCAAACAGCCACGCCTCAGAAATCTGCTAAAGGACAGAGCTCCGCGGGCCTTGGCCGGTGCCCTCGGCTGGGCGTGGGGTCGGGGACAGCCAGAGCTCAGCTCCAAGTCTACGGAAACCTCGCTGCCCTCGGCGACGGAGAGCCCACGGTGGGTGCTGGACCCACCGGCCTCGCCCTCCTGCGTCAGCCCCGGGGAACCGCCCAAGGCCACTCTGATGGGCGAAGGGCAGATGCTGGTGCTGAGCCGTCTGAAGCGGCCAGGCGAGGGGAAGGGTCTCCTCGGGGATCGGCAGGATGGCGGGAAGGGGCTGGAAGGCGAGGGCGGCACACAGGTCCCGGTGTACACAGCCAGGTGGGGGCTGGGAGCCGTGTGCTGGGGCTGCTGCGGAGAGGAAAGGAGAGGAGAGTCCAGTGGTGACTTGTGTGGTTCAGCACAACTGCCCTCTGGAAACTGTGGCAATGGCCCAAACAAACTGAGTCCCCTAGTCCTGGCTAATGTCCCCAGGTGGGGGCGGTCTCCTGCTGCGGGTGGGGTGAGGCAGGCTGAGCCCCAGATACCCCTCAATACCAGCCCCAAATGATCAATGCTTAACACCTTCCACCCCATCTCACCTCCCCATCTCTGCTCCCCCAGCTGAGGACTGAGGCCAGTTGAGGGGGGCAGAAACAGCCCCCACATGCCTTGCTGACTCCTCCCAGCCTTCCATGGACCCCTGTTCAAGTCTGCATGGACCACACCTGGGGGGGCATTCCTGTGCTTTCCCTCAGAGAGAGCCAGGCAGCTGAAAGAGAGGCTGTGTTGGAAGCTGGGGGTGCTGGGGAGAAACACCCCAGGACACACAGGGATAAGGGGTACAGTAGAGAAAGGGGGAGTGTTGCAATTCCACTAAGCCACCAAGCCTCAGATAGTACAGCTTTGAGGCAGGAACAGTAGACCTGGTGTATTTTCAGCTAAAAGGGCTCAAGAAAGCTCTGTTCAAACTGACAGAAGAAAGTTAAAATCAGAATTTTCCGGCTGTTCTCTGCTATCAGCCTCTCCTCCCCTCACAGAGCATACAGGACCGCTGGCCCAGGGCCTGCTATCTCCTCCCAGAGACCTACTGTGACCACATCAAAGCCCAGCATGAGAGAGCTGAGGGCCAAAGTTAGGCTTGGGGCTCTGGGACAGTTGGTTGAAGGCCACCTCCAAGAGAGAATTGGAAGTGACCTCAGTGAAGAACAAACCCTCTTTTAAACTGTCATAACCACACGGAGTCCTTCTCAGAGGGACCTACCTACCTCCAGGCCTGGGCACAGCCCTAGGGTTGAGGCGAGCAGCCCTGGGTCTGAGTAGGACAAGGATGTCCTCAGTTTCTACAGAGCCTGCCTGGCTTCCTGGGCAGCCAAGGGAAGGGCTGACACACCCAAGGAAGGCTTTGGAACAAGAGAAAGGCCAGGAGGCCACGGAGGGTGCTGCAGCCAGATGTCTCCTTTCTGTCCCACCAGCTTTCTGAACTTCAAACAAGATTCTGTCTGAATCAGCAGCTCAGAACCATGCGTCTATCTCTCTGTTCAGACTCCCACAGTCAGCAAACCAGATCCAAGGCCAAGGCTAGGGGCCAGTGGACTACAATAATAATTACCATTATTGCTGTTCAAACACAGCAAGAATTTAGCAAATGCAGCTGAGTCCTTTACAAGGATTAGGGCATTGGCTCTTTAGAGCCACTTAATGACGCCACAATTATGACCCCATTCTATACATATGAAAACACATGCTTGAAAAAACCAAGCAACTCCCATAAGGATGCCCTGCCAGGAGTGATGGGGGAAGGTTTAACGCCAGGCTTGCTGATTCCATGCACTGTATTTCTCAATGTGGCCAGGATGCTTGTTACAGGCACAGATCTCGGCACCATCCCAGACCCACTGGGATGCATTTCAGGGAAAGTGTTATTTTACCAACACTCAAGGTCTCTGCTGTGCCCAGTAAGTTGAAACTGTACCCCATACTATAGGGAAGTATGTTTCCCTAGTGCACGGTCTACAAAGAATAATTCTCCTATAATGACAGGGACAGGGGACATAAGAGACAACTGTTAGGGAAAGAGAGGGGCTCTTGGCACTTAACAACAAGAACAATTAAGCGCTTGGCATCCTACAATTTCTTACAACCAGCCCAGTTTAGAGAGAACGGAATTGAGGTCTAGAAGGTCTTACATCCTCCCCAGTTCTCCTCATCAGCCAGTGACTGTGGTCGGCAGGATTCTAAGAGATTCCCAAGGCCCCCTGTTCCTACCCCTGAGTGTGGGTATGAACCGGGATGGAAATATGTGGTGTGGTAGTTAATGTCTAAAAGGGGAGATCACTCAGGTGGACCAGACCCAACCCCATGAGTCCTTTAGATCTGGGTCCCGAGGTCAGAGACAGAAGAAGTCAGAGAGATTAAAAACACAAGAGGGAGAAAGTCTCCATTTCTGGATCTAAAGATAGAGGGAGTCCCATGGCAAGGAATGTGGGCAGCCCCTAGGAGTTGAGCAAGGAAATGGGGGAGTCGGTTCCAAAGCCACAAGGAACCAAATGCTAGCAATTGCATGAATGATCGTGAAAGTGGATTTCTCCCAAGAGTCCCAGATCAAAACATAGACAACCTAGTGGACGCCTTGAGTGTGAGACCCAACCAAATTTTACCCAGACCACTGGGAACTCATAGGGGATGCTGCTTTGAGGCGCTAGGTTAGTGGTGAGTTGTTGCACGGCTATCTGTAACTAATAGAGTGGCCAAGTGGGAATCGGAGCCCAGATCTGAGCAACCCAAATGCTCCTGCTTCTTCCACTGGCCCACATTGCTATCCCATGGCCTGTAGGGTTGAGATGGGATATTGGGATTCTAGAAAGTGGGCCACGATATCAACATTGGGAAATGAGGGTTGTCAAGGGAGATAGAGAGCCTTCCAAGTTTCCCTCCTTCAACAAATTCGCTGAGGACCCCTGGTTCATTGACTGTTTGGTGGTAGTGGTTGTGTTAGCAGACCAACTCATAATCCACTATGCTACCCGGGCTCCTTGGTTCACTAACTTGTTGCTGTTGAGTGTCATCCAGTCAGTTCCGACCCATAGCCACCCTGTATAAGGTTTCTGAGGAGTGGCTGGTGAGTTTGAACCACTAACGTGGCAGCTCAAACCAACTTTGCAGTCCAGTGCCTTAACCCACAGCGCCACACCAAGACTCCGGTTCATTAACTAGACTCCCAGTTATTCAGAATTTGTGATAAACTGTGATAATCCCAATTTGCATCTAAAGAAACAGAGTTTCATGGATGTAGGACAACTTGTCTAAGATGACACAGCTAATGACTGGACGTGCCATTAAAGAAAAGCAAAAAAAAAAAAAAACACAACAAAAAACCCCACAGGGTTTCCAGGGCTGTATAAGGAGCTCTGATAGCGTAGTGGTTACGAATCGGGCTGCGAACCTTAAGGTCAACAGTTCGAAACTACCAGCCGCTCCGCGGGAGAAAGATGAGGCTTTCTACTCCCGTAAAGATTTACACCCCCCGGAAACCCTGTACAGGGTCGCTATGGGCCGGAACCGACTCGACGGCACTTAACAACAACAACAACATTCTGTACAGAATGGAGCACTGGTAGAGCAGTAGATTAAGTGTCGGGCTGCTAATCTCAAAGTCAGTGGTTCGAGCCCACCAACCACTCCTTGGGGAAAAAATGAGGCCATCTACTCTCCTAAAGATTTAGTCTCAGAAACTCTGTCCTATGGGGTCATTACGAGTCGGAATTGACTCTGTGATAGAAGTAGACTGCCACTTGAATGTTGGTCTTTCTTTCTCCTGCCATGCTGCTGGTGGGCCGCTGACCACTGTGCCCCCAGGGCTCTTTTGCCATCCCATACTCTCCCCGACCCTCTTTCCACCATCTCGCCCCCACCTGCCTCCTCTGCAGAACCTGCTCTTTTCCAGACTGTCTTTCTCAGGATAAAGGACAAGACATACAAGGAAGATGGTCACCATTCTGCTTCACTTACCTGGCCTGCGAGTCTTTTCTAGCCCTTCCCTAACCCTGGATGCTCTAACAGGATGCCTTTGCTAGTGTCTCCCACAGACCTTGGCCTCAGGCCCTCCCACAGAAGCCTGGAGCTTGCTGTTGGAGACCCAGCCCCTCCAGCCCACACCCCAGCCACCAATGGTGTGAAGTAGCAAAGCAGCAGCATGCACAACATGCAGTGAAGAAACGGGACACAACAGAGACACTGTGACAGAGCCTTGCCTTTTTATTTTGCATGGGACCGAGAGAAGAGGATGGAGCGTGAAATGGAGAACATGTTGACACAAGATCACAATCACAGGATTTTCATGGAAGGCAGAGCAGAGGGGACAGAAAGGCAATCTGTCCTCAGAAGACAGCTATGAATTGGCAGGAGACCTGTGGCCACCTGAACTCACACTTCCCCGGGAACAGGACGGGGTGGCTAGGGTGGCATTCAGGAAGGGCATGCAGTATGCATGCTGTTCCTTCCAGTCCGTTTTCCCACTGCCCCATCATATTCACTCTCATTCCCATGAAATCTGACTTCACTATTCTACTCAAAGGCCTCCAGTGAACTCAGCTAACTGCTAAGTCTAGTGGCCTCTCCTAGTCTTCAACACACTCAACTCCTATAGCCTTTAGTTAAGATGCAGAACTCTATTTCGGTGACTCCAGACTCATGAGCCCGTCATATAATAAAGGACCATTGCTCATAAAGTTCAATGTCAAGGCCAAGATGGCTTCCTCCTCCCTGGGGCTGTGTTAGGTGGAAGCTGATGCAGGCTCCAAAGTTACCCCTGCAGCGGCAGACAGAGATGGAGGCGATCGCCAGGTTCTTAACAGTCCATTGGTCAGAACTAGACACATGACCCCGACCTAAGTGCACAGGAGTCTGGGGCATGAAATGATGCACATGGAACATTTAGTGAGCACCAACTGTCTACTGCAACACTGTTGGCCACACATTTACATCCTTCCTCACCTCTTCAGAGATTTGTTCTAACACTTCTCACTCTCTGCTCTGAGCTACTCTCTCTTCTCTTGAACTTTGTAAATGTGGTTTCTCCAACATTTCTCTTAGCCTTCTTCTCTCCCCCTGTCCACCTTCTTTCCCATAAGTTCATGTCCACTCTCACAGCTTCTACAACCACATTTGTGTGAATGACCCCATCTAAAATCTCTCCTTTTCCACAACTCAGAATTACTCAAACCTGCTTTTGAATGTAAACCCCATGTGATCAGATTTTGATTGTTCCGTTCAGTTCTGTATTCCCTGGGCAGAGGTGTCTAAAACAAGAATGGTTTAGAAATCTGTCCAAAAGTACATTTTCAACTTCCAGCTGGGGACTGGAGGTGGGGGGAGAATCTAGGTCAGGAAGAACTTGAATAGAACTCTAAAACCAATCCATTTCTTTTTCTGCTTGGTAGTTCTCAGAAAAGAATGTTCCCTCACTTTGTTTACATGCCTGTGTCTGCCATGAGATTGTAGTATGTTTGTGTGTCTGACATTGAGTAGGTGTTACATCAATGTGTGGTAAATACCTACTATGTGCCTAACACAGAGCTAGGAAACTGTGGGGAATGGTTGAACCAAAGATGAATTGGACAAAGTTGAAGCCTTACAGATGTAGCTAACACCCACCACCATCCTGGAGTCCTGGTGTGGCATTGAGGGTTAATGCATTGGACTGCAAAGTCAGATTGAACCGCAAGGTCAGCAGTTCAATTTCACCAGCCACTCCTTGGAAACCCTATACAGGGTTACTATGGGTCAGAACCGACTTGATGGCTCTTAACAACAACAACAACAACATCCTGGTGTGGTGCTGCGGGTTAATGCGCTAGACTACAAGGTCGGTTTGAACCACAAGGTCGGTGGTTCAACCTCACCAGCCACTCCTTGGAAACCCTTGTTATGAGTTGGAACCAATTTGACAACATTTAACAGCAACAAACATCAGCACCAGCTTTTTCCTGGTGTGTGGTCTCAGCTAATACTGGGTAACTAGAAGAAAAAGCAAACATTCTTTCTGGCGCCATGTTTCCCAGACTTCCCCACTAAAGTAGGCCAACCAGCAGAAAGCTGAGTAAATACGTTCCCTTAGGAATCTAAGGACCAAGCCCGAACCCATCACAGCCAAGCATGAAATGCCTTTGATGTCTCAAATTTTGTCATAAAAAATTCATGTACATTTTGCATTCTATTTCATAATATATTCATGATTACTTTAATATAATTTTTTTTAATTACCTAACTTTTCTCACATTCCAAATCTTCAAGTAAAATTGATGCCCCAGACTGGGTACCGCCTGGAATTCACAAAGTCAGTTTTGAAAAGTATCGATCTGGTCCCAACCCCTCGTTTCATAAATGAGAAAGCAGAGAGATTAAACAATTTGCTGAAGACAACACAAAGGGTAAGACCAGCTCCAGAGCCCAGGAGGCTGTCTCCAAATCTAGGGATTTATGAATGGTTACAATGCATGTTTATGGAGAACTTGCTAGATCTCAAGCATTAGGCTTGAGGATGTGGTCTCTCTCTTCATGCCACGCATTTGGTTCATTACCTGAGATGTCTCCTTAGGGTACTTTTAGAGTTGGGGTACTCCAACATTCTTCAGAAGAGAGGTGAACAAAGCATATTGCTCCGTGTTCTTACGGAGTAAATTAATCTAAGGCTGTTGTGAAATTGAGGCCAGTAGGCACTCATGTTTTGGGCTGAAATTATTTTGCTAACATGAAACCAATGTGCTAATATGAAACAAACTCCTTACAATGATTTGGAAGTTCTTCAATGGCATGGTCTCTACCCACCTCTCTAACCTCATCTTGTACCACAACCTCCTGGTCTCAGTTCTCTGTGAGCCAAGTCCCATCTCTGGGCCTTCACCACACTGTCTGGAAAGCTCTCCTTGCAGCTAGCTCATATCCATTATATAGCCAAGTCCTCACCTCCTGAGAGTTGTTGTTATTAAGTGTCGTGGAATCGGTTCCAATGCATAGCGACCCTGTATAGGGTTTCAAGGAGCAGCTGGTGAGCTTGAACCAGTGACCTTGTGGTTCAAACTGACTTTGCAGTCGAGCACATTAGCTCAAAGCATCACACCAGAACTTGTGAGAGAGACCTCCTTAGTCTATACTCCTCCCCCGATCTACCCTAGCCACAGCAGTGTATCCATTGACTTTCCAACATTCTGTGGGTTTTAGCATACATATGTTTGTGTTGTTAATTGTAACAATGACTGCATTCTTCATCTTTCCTTGTAGTCATGTCTTTTGCCATACAACTTTGCAATTTCTCTCACTAAGCGATAGAGGCCATTTCCCCATGCCTTAAATCTAGGCTGTCTTAGTAACTTTTTTTTGCAGGGGAGAGCAATAAAATGAGATGGAAGAGACACATTCTAAGCGTAGATCTCAAGAAGCCTTATATATTTCCACTGTCTCCTGTGCAGTTCTGCCATTGCTATGGAATTATAACCAGAGCAGCCTGCTGGAGGATGAGAGATGTGTGAAACAAAATAGAATCACCCCAGTCCTCTCAGCCTAGGCCAACCAACAGGAGCTGACCACAGACATGTGAGGCCAGCCAAGACCAACAGAGCCTTCTAGATGACCCTACGTATGAGCAACCATCACTTGTAAGCCATTAAAGTTTCATGACTTACTGTTCTAGAGCAGCAATGAACTGAATTATTGATCATCACTGGTAAACTACAGCCGTGACATTTTATTCACAAATGCCATTGAGTCAGTTCTAACTTATGGCAACCCTGCATAGAGTTTCTAAAGGGCAGCTGATGTGTTTGAACAGCCAACCTTGTGGTTAGCAGTTTAATGCTTATCTTACAGCACCACACCAGGACTCCTGGTATGTGGTTGTTGTTGTTAAGTGCCATCGAGTCAGTTCCGACCCATAGCGACCCTCTAGCGGGTTTCCAAGGAGCAACTGGTGAGTTTGAACCACCAACTTCGCAGTTCAAACCGATTGTGCAGTCTAGCGCATTAACCTACAGTGCCACAGCTGGACTCCCTGGTATGTAGTAGGTGCTCAATAAATGTGTTCAATGACTAAGTCTTCCTGCTGCGCAAAGTTGGTCTTTGACTCACTTTCTTGTTCTAGGTCCACACATAGTTGTATGGAGTCAATCTAACTTTGAGAATGACTTTCTATGTCTCCCAGGTTTGCACTGTCCTCTCCCTCTACTCCTGCCCCCTGAGCTATAGCTGCGGAAGGAGAAAATACACATCTAGAACCATCCCAGGATGTAGTATTAACTCTGAGTTTGATTCATCTTGAAAATGTCTCAGCTGTCTACCATCCCTCTACCTATGACTAAAAACATCAGCACCTTTGTTCTTGACTCTAAAGGTTGCTGTGCAGCGGATCATTTACCTAGATTACTGTGGAGGCCTCAGGCTTAAGTCCTTCATCCTTACCTGCTATGTATTCCCCCAGCATGCTCAATGGGGTTTCAAAAATTTCATGGAAAAATTCCATTATCTTTTCATTCCATTTTTCCATGAACTCTTTGAAGCCCCATCATATAAGGGGGTGGGGAGACAAGAAGAGAGCCCATCAGCTTTCAAGTAAACGTGATGAAAAACAAACTCAACAGAAGTAATGTCTTAGCAAGTGCAACAGAAGAGACCAGAGGAAGTTCAAGTATATGGGGTCCCGGCACCTAGTTCCTCTGAAGGGATCTCAAAGACAACTTTAGAAGCAATGTCTATTTTGAAAGCATGAAATCTTCATAAAATGATTCTAAACAAACTTGCCTTGGGGCTGAGAGGATGCCTTCACTTTAATTTTCCTAGATCACACCAGCCTGTTTCCTTGATGGTTCTCACCATGACAGCTCCGTGTGGTAAGATAGACTGTCACCAGGAACTGAGCTAAGTCATACCCCTGCACCCATCACTGACCAGCCCTGCCTGCTGGTGAATTCAAGTGGTAGACCAAGCTCTAGTTGTTGTAGTATTGGGAAGTCAACCCAATGTACAACGTCAGAGGACTACAAGGTGACCCTGATGACTTCACAACCTCACCAGAGAGGAATGGGGAGAGGGATCTCCAAGATGCTGACCTCCCTTTCCTTGGTTGCCTCTCCCATGAGCCTACCCTCCCACCTCCTCTCTTGGATTATAGATTTATTTAGGAAGCAGCTCCTTTGAAGTTGGCTCCTACGGTCCAGCTTGCTTATGACCTGAGTGATGTCCACGGTGTTGGCTGCTTCTCGTGCCTTGGCTTCTTCTTCCAGTTGTCTCAGGACAACGGGACTTGGGCTGGAACGGAGGTGGCGCCGCATGAACGGGAGGTTGGAGCTAGAACCAAGGAAAGCAAGTTACAGAAAACCACACTGTCCAACAATGACTCTGAGACTCCTCGTCGGAGTGGAGCTGGAAGGTCAGGCCTGGAATTGTTCCCTTCAGTTTCCAGGAGAACCTCAAAGTGAGGTCCTCAGACGGCATGTGCAAGCTTAGCGCTTCCTCCCCTTTGGAGAATGGGTCCAGAGTAAGCACCAATCACCATCACATTTTCGGGTCATTTAGGCAGAAGTCCATGAGTGGTATGAGTGTCTAATGCCCTCATGTTAAGTGCCGTTGAGTCGGTTCCAACTCACAACGGCCCTGTATAGGGTTTCCAAAGAGTGGTTGGTGAGTTTGAACCATTGACCTTGCAATTCAAACCAACCTTGGGTCCAGTGCATTATCCTGCAGCACCACACCAAGACTCTTGTCAGCTGTTAATCAAAAAGTTGAATGTTCTAGTCTACCCAGAGGCACCTCCAAAATAAGGCCGGGCATTCTATGTCTGAAAAGTCTGCCATTGAAAACCCTCTGGAGCAGAGTCGGCTCTGACATACCCAGAGTCATCAGGGGTCAGAACCAACTCAACAGCAACTGGTTACTGGCAGCTCAGGTCAGATTCTTCTGGTGACGAAGCCTACTTCTGATGGACGAAGACCCATCCCCTCTGCAGTATTGAGACATTAACTTGGTATCGTAACTTCCTGCAGGCTCTTCACAGTCAGAAGGGGGCAAAGAGGAACTGGGTCCTGGAAGGCTAGGGTTCTTGTCTCAGGGAAGAGTTGGAGCTTTTGTCTCCAAGCCTTCAAAAGGAAGAAGAGACTGTTCAAGGGGATCCCAAGAGGCAGAGAAAGAGGGGAAGGGCTTCACAAGGGATGGTGAGCTGGACTTGTATCCTGCTCACACACAAGACTCAGGGCATTTTCAGTACTTCTGGCAGCAAGCAGAGATTCCTGGGACCAATTTCTCTCTACCACAACCTTAGGATTCACATTCTAGAGGTCTAAGTTCTGTAGGGTCTCTGAGCATCAGAATCTACCCAAACCTTTGAGGGTCCCCATAAGGCTTGGGAAACAAGCAGCAATGGCAGGTTGAAGACCTTGGACTGATAAATTTCCAGACTGTTGTATCTACGTGAGGAAGGAGAAGGGCTCCCTCCCACCAGCGATGCCTGGGATTCACTCTGTCACCAGCTCCACCAAGGAGGAGGCTTAGAGATTGATTGAACTCATCTTGGAAAACTTCAGTCTGACACAGTGCCTTACAGTTGAAAGTTGAAATAGTTCATTGCCATTGCCGACCCCACAGAGACAACCCCCGAACCTCAAAACCCAGCACCACCAGACAGCAATACCCCACATCAAAGCTTAGTGTTCCACCAGGAGTCCAAGGCCACCCCAGGTATCCAAAGCAGCTGACACATCCCAGGAAAGATCCCAGCTAAATTCGCACATCTTCCCAACGTAAAAACTATCTGGAGAGAGACACATGAGAGATTCTACTTCCTTCGCCACTACATTCTGGCAGAACCTTGGAGCTATCAGACCCTTTCTTGTGGCTTAAGGGGGGAGCTTTCAAGTCCCCAGGGACACTGAACTCCCGCCCTCACACACAAACTTAATAGAAGGGTCTCACAAAGGCCTCCTTTTCACAACAGGACCATTATCCTCAAGAATGAAAGCAATTTGTTGGGTTTTGTTTTTTTTTTGGAAGAGCCTTTGATAAAGGCTCTGGTCCAACCATCCTTCCCGTGATTTGGGTTAACTGAAAATTCTGGAAAAGGTCCCAGTGTGGGCTGAGCCGACTAGCAGGGAAAACTTATCAACCAAGGGGAACAAGACACGCAACTGGTACTACAAAGACCTCAGCCAAAGTCTCTAGTCTTTGTTCAAGCTATCATTTGGCTATTCGTTTGGGATTGGAATCTCCAATCCCGATAGGGTTTTTGGTTTTCCCAAAAAAGAGTTCAAACTGCCCCTTGGAACATGACTTCATCTGTTCTCCCAGTAGTTCTGCAAGATGAGGCAACCCACCTCCTTCAAGGGCAGTGAGAGGAGACAGCTAACACACTCACTAAAAGATAAGTCTCAGGAGGCTGCAAGGATTCTTGGGGTGTTACTGTTCATTCCCCCTAATTGTCTGGCATTTTCTTTGGGGTGTCATCTGCTATTCTCCCACAGGTCGTGAATCATTACAAGGATACAAGGATGGAGCTTCATTAATGTCCATGTATCCATTGGAAATAGAAAAGGTGGTTATCAAACAGCCAATGAGATGCCTGCATTTCTGAGAAGGTTAATTATCAGTCATCAACACGCTTCCAAGTTAGCATTTGGGAAACAAAAGCTATCTACAGTAACTACTCAGGAAATCTAGAGTGGTTTCAAGGCATTCTGAAAGAAATGGGGTAATCATTCCTTAGACAAGTGGCACTTTCTAGTCCGCAATATTTTCATCAAGCAAATGTCTCAATAAGGGTCATTTGGTTGAAAGAGCTCTTTCCTTCTCTGTAAGCTAAACAGCAGGCAGCAAGCAATTATAGACCATTCCACTTGCCTTCTTTTCGCAGTTTCCTGAGGCTCAATGGCCTTGGCCAGCATTTCCTTGTAGATTGGAGATTTTAAGTAGCGAGCATAAGAATCCTAGGGGAAATCAAAGAAACAACAAAACAAAATAGTAATTATGAGATTATGAGAGAGAAGGTGTCAAATGAAGGGTCCCAAGGTCTCCCTCCGGCAGTGAAATGGCACTGTTAAGAGAAAGTAGCTGCTTATGTGGACAGCGTTGAGACAGTGCCCAGCGCAGTTCCCCAGGGTAGAGCCTGGGTTAAGAGCATTAGCTTCACCTGGGAGCGCCTTAGAACTGCACATTCTCAGAGCCCGCTGCAGGCCTGTTGAAGACAGCACAACACTGGGAAGGTTTCACTCATTCGGAATCAGTGCCAACTCAATGGTAAGTAACCACCACTGCCAACCCAAAAACCCACAGCAACCCTATAGGACAGGGGAGAACTGCCCCATAGAATTTCCAAGGTTGTCACCTTTAGGAAAGCAGATGGACACATCTGTCTCCTTAGGAGCAGCTGGTGGGTTCGAACAGCTGAACTGATGGTTAGCAGCTGAGCACTTAACCATGGCACCACCAGTCATTAGCACTACCTGCGTGGTTTAACTACAGAGAGGGTGCATGCAGGCAGCGGCCCCCGGTGGCCCTTCCCAGTTGGGGATCCACAAAGTTTCAGGAGGCTCCAACCCAGCGAATGATGGGAGAGACAGCTCCTAACTCTATACCTACCATGGGCACAGGGACAGTCAGATACCACATCTCAGGACTCCACATCTGAAAATGTTCCCAGGTCCCTGGGAAGGGAAGGGCTCCTGGTACACACATCCCTACCCACCTTCTTCATGAGTATATAGATGTGGGTTTGTGCAGCATCCAGGACGTAGCGATGGGGATGCCTCAGTCCCTTGACTGTGATGTCCATGGTCTTGCCATCTATGTTTATCCATCGCCTCGCCCCTGGGGCCAGGAATAGCCTGGGGTGGGAGGAAAATGTTCACAAAGATAGCTAAACCCAAATCACTTCATGAGAAGTCTACAGCTGCCTGGGAGAGCAGAGTTGACAAGGGCCAGAATCCCAAGAGTGGAGTTATTTTTAGGAGGTATCAAGGAGTGTGGTGGCTCTGTAGGATAAGCCCTGGAATCGTAGCCACAAGGTCAGCAATTTGAACCCACCGGCTGCTCTGCAGGAGAAAGGTGAGGTTTCTGCTCCTGTAAAGATTTACAGTCTTAGAAACCCTATATAGGGTCGCTATGAGTCAGAAACAACTTCATAGCACTTAACAACAACAAAGATTTTTAAATGGTTAACACACTTGACTGCTAACCCAAGGTTGAAGGTTCAAGTCCAGTCAGAGGTGCCTCTGAAGACTTGGTGATCTACTTCTGAAACACCTGCCATTGAAAAACCCTCTGGGTACAGATCTACTGTGACACCCACAGGGTGGTCACGAGTCTGAGTTCATTCTGTGACGATTGGTGGGGGAGGAAAATTTTAAACAAGTTGTCAAATCACTTCTCCTAAGAGCAAGAAAACAGTCACACTAGTATTGGGAATGTGACTATTTCACTCTGATGCTCTCAGCCTCTAGGAGTAAGAGCAAGAAGGAAATGAGGTGAACCCAGCTGGAGACGGCTGGTCATTCGAATCCAGCCTCCAACCTAATATCTTCAAACCTCCTTCCTCAGCAGCATTCCAGGACCTGAACTGGAAGTAGGTTAAGACAACTCCAAACAGGGGTCTCAGGGTCTCTGCTCCTCCTTGGGCCCAGTTCAAAGATGTTTAGTGACAAATCTGGAGTCCCGATAGGGAGGCATTTCCATAATCCTGGCACCCTGGAATTTGGGTATCCAGTCATACACCCCAAACTAGAACCTAATAGCAACCTCCCTCCCTGAGTCCTTGGCATTCCTGAGATTCTAGGCACCCAGGGCTCCCCGAGGTTAGAACAGTCACGTGGGTGGAAAGTTTTGGAATGCACAAAAAAGATTTATGGAACTGGGGAACCCAGAGAGGAAGGGTCCTACCGCAGATTCAGAGGGGGGTTTGTGTGCTGCTGAGTCGGTTCTGACTCATCACGACCCTCTATAGGGTTTCCAAGGCTGTCAATCTTTACGGGAGCAGAACGCCTCACCTTTCTCCCCTGCAGTTGGCAGCCTGACTTGTACCCCACTACACTACTAGGGCTCCTTGTTCTTTGAAGTTGTTGTTAAGTGCCGTCAAGTCGGTTCCAACTCATAGAGACCCTGTATAGGGTTTCTGAGGAGTGGCTGGTGAATTTGAACCACCGACCTTGCAGTTCAAACCGACCTTCCTGTCCAGCACATTATCCCACAGCGCTACCACACCAGGACTTAGAATTAGGAGCTGTGTGAGTGTCTTTCTGTGCGAGTCAGTCCAGAGCCCATTACTGTGAAAACAACATCAAGGGAACTTCCTGAGCCCACAGAGTCCCCCTACCCTGTTGGTCTTGATGCACAGAGCCCCTCCCTGGGGAGCAAGGTGGCCAAATTTGTAAGAACACACACAAGTGGAAGTGCAAGTCCTTCTTTCAATTCTGTGACTGTCCCCAGACTTTCTTCAGAGGAGCCCCCAAACCTTCCAGAAGCAGTGAAGTGCATATAGTGTGGCCAGTCTAATGACACCCAGGTGTGGTACCCACCCCCCTTCCATCTCCAACCTCAGACAAAACCAGGGCGGATGGGGGAGCCAAAGAACAGATGATTAGTCCTCACTTGTAGATCTCCTCTGCCTTCTCCTTGACCTTGGACTGATCTCCGTACTTCAGGTCCTCACAAGCCTCCCAGAATCCCAGATTCTCCCCTGCGCACGGAGGAGGGGTCCAGGCAGACAAAGCCAGGCAGGAAGCAAATGGAGAGAAGTAAACAGGAAATAAAGGGTCAGCTAGGGTAGGTTCAGGTCCCTGGTCTGGGGACCACTGTTTCTTCTGCAGAACAGCCCAGCACAGAGACCAAGCTGCTGGTCTCACAAGGACTGGTGGAGCCCCTGAGACAATGGCCTTTAAACACCGTTCAGAAGCTGAACTCACCCCTGGGGGGCTTAACTTTCAGTCAAACAACAGACAGATGGACAATAACATCAGAGAGGTACGTAGTCCTTGGAGCAATCAGCCATTTGAGATCAAAGGGACAGCAGACAGTATATGGCCAGAGATAAAACTCAGTAGGCAGGAACGTAGGACAGATAGAAATGGTACACCCAGGAAGACAGTAGGAGATATGCTGATGTTACTGCTGGGGATCGTAATCAATGTCACAAAACAAAATGGGTATGAACTGGTCAATGGAAAAACCAACTGGCTCTGTAAGCCTTCACCCAAATCACAATGAAAAATAAGTAACTTTCAACATTAAAAGAACAAGCCAGCACACATGTGAAGTTTGACAAGTTTCTCCATAAGGGAAGGGGCCACGGTGTTTTGTGGGGGAAGCTCCACATATTTCAGACTGGAAAAGGCTTGGCTATTGTAAACAAGTTGACATCTGTCCCAAAGTACATACGGGTGCTCCTTCTTCACCGCTGACTTCAGGGTGTTCACAGGACTGAGGTCTCTGTCGTGCATGAACACCCAGCCAGCACTGTACACCAAATGCAATGCAGACCCTTTTACCCATAGCAAATGACAGCTACCTGCTTAGCATTCAAATTAAATGAGCACACAAAGGTATATGCACTGATGCTCATAGCGGAGAGCTCGATGGCTCTGTACAGTAAGCACTGGACTGGGAACCACAAGTTCCACCGTTCAAGCCCACCAGCTGCTCCACAGGAGAAAGATGAGACTTTCTGTTCCCATAAAGATGTACAGCCGAGGAAACTCTATCGTGTTGTTGTTAAGTGCCCTCTAGTTGGCACCGACTCATAGCAACCCTGTATAGGGTTTCCGAGGAGCAGCTGGTGGGTTTGAACTGTGGACCTTGTGATTCACAGTCCAGCGCTGATCCTACAGCACCACATCAGGAGTCACTATGAGTAGCGATTGACTCTTCAACACTTAACGACAAAACAATGTTCACAACAGCATCATTCAAAATAGCCCAAAAGTTAAAGCAACCCATCAACTGATGAGCAGACAAGCAAATGTGATATATTCATCCAGTGGGATATTTTTCAGTCATAAAAAAGGAATAAAGTACTGATGCATGCTACAATGAGAACATTATGATAAGTGAATTTTATGTGAATATTTTACAATGTGAAGACAAAAGGTCATATATTATATGAGTCCAGGTATATGAAATGTTCGGAAGAGGCAAATCTATAGGCACGGAAGGTAGAAAAGGGTTGTCTAGGGCTGAGGGCTCAGGGTTGGGGTAGAGGGGAACTTCTAATGTAGATCTGATTCTTTTGGGGTTAGTAAAAATGTTCTGGAATTAGAAGTGATGGTTTCACAACTTTGTGAATAAACTAAAATCCACTAAATTGTGTACTTTAGAAAAGTGAATTTTATGATATGTGAATTCGATCTTAAAGGACTCCTGGTGTGGCACTGTAGGAGCAGAACTGGGCTGTGAACCACAAGGTCAGCAGTTCAAACCCACCAGCTGCTTCTCAGAAAACCTACACAGGGTCGCTATGAATCGGAATCGACTCAACGGCAATAAACAATAACAACATATTAAAACAAGTTTTGAACGTCTTAAGTCACATTGGTAAACCGGTGATTTATCTGCTCTGTTCATACCCAACACTTCAGGAATCTTATGAAGAGACTAGTATTAATACAGCTTTAATAATCCAGGAACATCTTTTCATTGGATTCTCACTGTTATTAATTAAGGAATGTGTGTCCTGGTGTGGCACTGTGGGTTAATGCATTGGACGGCAATAGTTGGCAGTTCAAGTTCACCTGCGGTTCCTCGGAAACCTTATACAAGGTCGCCACGGGTCGGAACCGACTCGACAGCACCTAACAACAGGTGGGCAAGAGTCTTTGGGAGGTGGGGTTACAAACAGCTAACACACTCGGCTGCTAAATAAAGTTAAAACAATCCAAATGTCCGTCAACTGATGAGCGACAAGTAAATGTGATATATTCATCCAGTGGAATATTATTCAGTTACAAAATATAAGTGGGCCTAACAATATACTTACAGAAAACCAGCTTTGAAAACTACGGTGGGGTTGCCATGAGTGAGAACTGACTTGCCCACACTAATCCTCTTCAGCTGGGATAGACGGAAAGCTCAGGGTGTAGTCTGCCACTTGGCCACTAGAGGGAACCCCAGCCACTTATTTGCTGGCGGCTTCTGGCCCATTCCTGTTCATCATCTTTTCTGGGTTTTATTATATCATGGCAATTAAGGTTGATGAGAGAGAAGAATTTTCAACAACCCCTATCATAATGTAATATTCTTCAACAAGCAATCAAACAGACTAAGAGCATGTCAAGTAGAATTAGTTTCAGAAGCAACCCCACAAATTAATGGGTCTTGGCTAGTAAGCAACTTTGGTATACAGGGCTTTACTATTAGGGTTCAAATGCCATGGCCCCCCCAGGTTAGAGACTCAATGAGGATTTAAATGAATTCCATAAAAGTCACTAGAAGGTGGTGAAGCCGATTAGGTGGGCAGCCACATCCAATGAATTTGGTCCATGCTGTATAATTAAGATGCACGAGCATGTACCATAATGAGATATTCAGAGATGGGGTCTAAAAGCCTGGTGCAACCCATTCATTACAATTCTCTCATCCTTGAGGCCCTGAGGGAGGCAGGCAAAGTGTGTGCACCAATGTACATAGTAGCACCATTCACAAAGGCCCCAAAGTGAAAACCACCCAGTGGTCCTGCATTTGACTTAGGAATCAACTCTAGCATATCCACACATAGGGGGTTCCCGCCTGCGTCTGTATCCACTCCAACGCAACAGTGGGCTAAAGCAGTGGTTCTCAATTGTGGCTGTACAGTAGAATGACTATGGGGCCCTGATGTGGCACTGTAGGATAAGCACTCGACTGCCACCATACCAGCCACTCCTCAGAAGCCTCATACAGGGTCGCTATGAGTCAGAACTGACTCGAGGCACTTAACAACAACAACATGGAATTTTTAGCACTCCAACCCAAAACCAATTAAATAAGGATGGGATCCAAGCACACATGTTTTTAAATGTCCCCCAGCAGATCAAATGTGCAGCCAGAAACCTGCTGAGCTAAAAGAAACCATGTTGGGAAGCCACCGGGCAAGCCTGGCTCCTCCCTGCATCCCTATTGGGTCTCCCTGAGGAGCTACAGTTGAGTGGGGTGGGGGGAGAGGGCTCAGCAGCCCCAAGTGCCCCTTGGCTGATCATCAGTGGAAATGGAACCTCAGAAACGTGAATGATGCCCATCTGGACTTGGTTGAGCAGAGAGATGTTCCCCAGACTGGGGGCATCTTTGAAGCCACAAACAACATAAACCCTAGACTAATTCTGAAAGCTATCAAAGACAGCACCCGCTGCAAATTCCAAAAACCCTCTGCTAGCATTTCTTTTTGAAAAAATCATCATCATCATTAAAATTCAAACACCCACCACTGAATTCTTTCTTGAGAAAGGACTGGAAGCTCTGCCGGCCCTTCGGGTCTCGGATCAACTCGCTGAAGTTGAAGGCCCACCGTTCCACCCGCATCCTGGTTGGGATTTCTACCCTGTAAGAAGGGTGATTTGTCAATGCAGCAGAGGCCCAGGCTGGGCTAGGGGGTGGCTGGGTGGGGTGGGCAGCTTTGGGCAGTTTTAGCCCCTGTCTTAGTCTAATGGTTCAGGACTCCATGAAACCCTCCTAACCTCTGCTTAAACCTGCAATGCAGGTCATTACTAGTTAGGAAAATACAGCCTCAACCAAGTTCCCTGGCCTCATTTCCACAAGATTGCAGTCCCAAACGTGAGAATGATGCCTAAAGTGGGGGTGTTCGAGTCAGCCCCCCACCCCTTAGCCTTCAGAGCAGCACAGTTGGCAACAACAACCATCCGGAATTCAAAACCCAAGCAAAGGAATGGATGGTAGAAGTACCAAGGCAGGTTTCGGTCACTATAAGTTCTTCTGGACCTTATATTTACACTCCTTAAATAGCAAGCATGCAAAGTTATAGTGAAGATTTTTTTCTTTTCAAAAAGAATATATTAGACACAAAGTGATTATGTGACCCAGACATTCCACTCATAAGTATACACGTAAGACAGATAAAAGTATCTGTCCATACAAAAACTTGTACACAAACATTCAAGGCAAGACTAGTCACAATAACCTAAGGGAGAACCAACCCAAATGGCAGTCAACGGATGGAGGATAAACAAGATGTGATCTGTCCATATAGTAGAATATTGTTGTTGTTGTTATGTGCCATGGAGTCGGTTCCGACTCATAGCGACCCTATACAGGGTTTCCGAGGCTGTAAATCTTTACAGGAGCAGAAACTTCATCTTTCTCCCGCAGAGCAGCTGGTAGTTTCAAACTGCTGACCCTGAGGTTCGCAGCCCGATTCGTAACCATTACGCTACCAGAGCTCCTTACTCAGTCCTAAAAAGGAGCGGAGTTTTGTCACATGCTACAACAGGATGAGGAGGAGTTTTGTCACATGGTACAACAGGATGAGGAGACCTGCTGGTGTGATGGGTTATGAGTTGGTCTGCTATCTGCAAAGTTCATAGTTAGAATCCACCAGCTGAGACTTTCTGTTCCTGGAAAGATATATCACCTCAGAAACCCTATCAGGGTCGCTTTGAGTCAGAACCAACTCGGCAGCACACAACTAAGATGAACCTTAAAAATATAATGCACACATAAGCTTGTTTCACTAATGGCAAGACAAAAGAAAGCTAGTATCCAAAGACAACATAATGTATGATTCCATGTATATTCAATGTTCAGAAGAGGCAAATACGATGGAGACAGCAAGTAGATTACTGGTTGTCTAGACCTGGGGGATTCAGGGGCTAACAGTTATAGGATCCAGGGCCAGGGTTTCTTTTTTGAGGTATTGAAAATGTTCTTGATTTAGACCTCAATGATGGTTGTATAATAATTCCTGCCAGCACTGAGGTTAAAGCACTCCGCTGCTAACCAAAAGGTCAGCAGTTCTAACCCACTAGCCACTTTGTGGGAGAACCATTTAAAAATGCTGAATTGTACACAAAAATTATAAAACAGTTAAAAAAAACACACACACAATATATTGGGCACATACAATTTGGCATTTAAGTCCCAGAACTGGGTGTTATCTGTTATCCAAGGATTGCTGGGCAGGCAACCGGACATGATGGCGTCGTTGGAAGAGAACTGCTCACTGTACTTGACAATCCTGGAAAGCAAATGGAAAATGACCACCTATAAATTCAACACCCAAGAGACTAAATCCATAATCAGGCTGCTTGGCAAACTGTTCTCTTCCTTTCTCAATCCACTTACACCACTATTACTGTCTTCTTTAGAAACACACTCTAATAGCCCTTGGGTTTGGCAGGTATTTAACAAGATCTGTCCTTATTCTAAAGAGCCCCAGTGGCACTTTGGGCTAAGCATTAAGCTGCTAACTGTCAGGTCCGTGGTTCAAACCCACCGAGCCACTTTTCGGGAGAAAGATGAGACTGTTCCCATAAAGATTTATAGTCGCTAAGAGTCAGCATGCACTCGATGTGTTTGGTTTAGGTCCTTATTCTAGGAGGCCTCCTGGTACCATGACTAAGTAATCAACTGCTAATGGAAAAGATGGTGGTTCAAACCCACGAGGCGCTTCCATAAAGATGGCAGCTTTGGAAAGCTGGCAGGGCAGTTCTACTCTGTTCTACAGAGTCACTAGGAGTCAAAATCAACCATAGTGGGTGTGGATTTGGGTCCTGACAAACTGTGAAATAACCCCTTCCTCCTAATCCAGTCCCTGTGCAATTGCTCTGAACCTACTTCATTAAAACGTAGTCTTTTTACATTTTACCAGTTTTGTTTTTTTTAAATCCAAAGCCGTTGTCTCCTAAATAATGTCCTATTTGGATCAAGCTAGCCTGGAAGCTCAAAACAATCAAACATAGCTTTCCAGTTTATCGTAATTGCCTTTTAAATCCAAGATTAACAACTGACATTTAGCAATATGCTGACCCAATAAACGGGAGACTGGTGGCTACATACAATAAGCACTGGACTGCAAACTATAAGGTCTGTGGTCTGCGCCCGCCAGCCACTCCTCAAGAGAAAGATGAGGCTTTCTGCTCCTGTGAAGGTTTAAAGACTCAGAAAACCCTATATAGGGTGGCTATGAGTCGGAACCCAGTTTAATGGCACTGAACAACAGCAAGCCAATAAACATTATCCATATATCCCTAATGTTGTTGTTAAGTGCCATCGAGTCAGTTCTGACCCATAGCGACCCAGTATAGGGTTTCTGAGGAGCAGCTGGTGAGCTTGAACTGTCGACCTTGAAGTTCAAACAGCTTTGCAGTCTGACGTTGTGGTTGATGATAGGAACAAAGGCGAACTTAGATTCATGTAAGATCCAATCGATGGACTTTCAACTCACCCACTTTCAGCACCCCACATAGAAGTAAACGCTAAGAAAGATAACACACAGACTTGTTGAGGACCTTACAACCCCTGGATTAGCCTGACTCAAGAGGAGGCCTGGAGACTTGCTCAGAGGGAAGACCTCATTGCTAAGTACACAAGGGACTGGTTTTGCCTTGAAGACCTCAAGTGTGTCCATGACTCATCAAGCTGGCCTTAAAGCAAAACTTCTACTTTTACCTAGTTATTGCTCCAACATCACAATGCCCAACAAATGAGGGACATACCCTCCAAGGGACACCGAAGACTTCACTGTGGACCTCATCAAGGCCTGCTGGTAATACATGATCTGGAAACGACAGAGTTATTAGAAGATGTTCAACTTCCCATCCTTGAGCGTTCCTGGCATTTACAAACTAACTCCAGAACTAGAGGCCATTTCTCCATCCCAACACCCCCTCCCCTCCCCTCCAGTCCAACGGGACTCAAGACCACTAAGGCTAGATAACCCCAAACTCCAAATGAGTGGCCTCCTTAACCCATCACGTGGTGGTCTAGGGAAGACAGATGTCATTTGTAAACAACTGTTCTAATGAGGAGTAAGGAATCCCTGGGTGGTTAACCAGGAGCCCTGGTGGCTTACATGTTGGGCTGCTAACCAGAAAGTCAGCAGTTCGAATCCACCAGCCATTCCTCAGGAGAAAGAAGAAGCTTTCTGCTCCTGTAAAGATTTATAGCCTTGGAATGAGTCACTGTGACTTGGAATCAACTAGATAGCCATTTTTGGTTTGGTTTGGTTTTGGGGTATTTAACAGTTAATGTGGTTGGCTGCCAACCCAAAGTATGGAGGTTTAAATCCATCCAGAGGAATCTTGGAAAAGGCTTAGTGGTCTACTTCTGAGAAAATCATCCATCGTAAACCTTATGGTGGTGCAACTGTAATCTGACACATTTGGAGTTAGAGTGGACTCAGCGGAAAGTGGCAAACAAATGAGCATTAAGCAAGACATGGGGCCAGTGTTTGACTTTTCCCTCATGTGCCTGGGGCTGCCAGGAGAAGAGTGGGCCCTACCACAGGTGACTTTCTGAGCTTTCCTGACTGTATAAGAGCAAGCCATGCCCCTCTTCAGCCCCCTTCTTCCCTGGTCCGATAACCAGTGGCAGGTCCAACCTCTACGACCCTCACTCCCCAGGGTTCTATCTTAGTGCCCAAGGCCAAGATGGGCCACCCTAGGTTATTTGCCACCCTGGAGAGATTCTGCAAGGCCCAGCATTGTAGGAGCAGAGGCTACAGTGAAAATGGTGCTTGCTGCAGCAGCCAAGCCCACACCCCTCTGATCTGCGTCTTGTAGGGGAACTTCCTGTAGTGTTACTTGTCCTGAACCTCAGCATCAGCCCCATTCAGGTCTTACAAAGACAGCCTGTCATCTATGCTTTCCATAAAGTGTGGAAACAAGTGTTTGAACATTTCACGTGGTTTTCGCTTCATTACAGAGCATCAAAGTCTGTATCATTTGTTAGCAGATTTAGAATCAAGCTTGGTTGGGATTTAGGAAACAAATTACCTCTTTTTTGACAGCAGGGATTGTTTGTTTCTGTAAAACAAAGAAGTAAAAACAATTAAACAGTCTCTACAGTTCAAATATATATATATATATATATATATATCCCTCACTATTAGAAAACTGTCCATGTTTTCCTATTTCAAAGGCAAGATTTCCCCCTCAACACTTCAAGCTACACCCTACTCTGCCCAACCAATGGAGAATGATATCAACTCAAACTTGGTGAGGGAAATCATACTGATTCTTGGTGCCAATTTTTACCCAACAAAAGACACTGCTTTAGTGGACACACATTTCCAGTACAAAATAATCCTGTATGCAGAATGAATTTGTATTCAAATCCATAACTTCACAAAAGCCAAGATGAAATAATGATGAAGTTTGGAGAGGGTCCCACTTGACCATAATGTCTCTAGAACCATCTTGAATGGAAAGAGAAACTGAGATGGAGAAACTGGGATGGATCTCAGTATTTGCTTCTCTCAAGAACTATGAATGAATGAATGAATGAATGAATGAATGAATGATGAGATTGATGCTGCACGTATTTATAACAACTTGGCTAATTCCACAAGTTGAAAGAAATAGCCACGTTGCCAAAAATAAAACACACAATGAAAACACTCAAGACCAGCCTGAGCTTTCAGCTGAGTCCTGGGCCGTGTTGCAAAGTTGAAAGGTCAAGTTCATGTTGGCAATGAACTACAGGGTGTTCTTTCTCTGAACCCTTGGAGTTCGGGCAGTTCTGCTTTGTCACATGGGGTCCCTCAGAGTTGAAACCAACTTGACAGCCTTTCTAACAAGAGCAGTAGTAGGCATCCCAGGATGGCACAAATGGTTAAGCACTGGACTGTGCACCCAAGATTGACGGTTCAAATCCACACAGAGGTGCCTCCGAAATAAGTCCTATCGAACTGCTTTCCAAAGGTCACAGCTTTGAAAACCCTAGGGAGTAATTCTACTCTGCACCCTCAGGGTTGGACATGGGTTCTAATCCACTGGACGACAACTAACAACAACAGCAACTTAAGCAATTGCTACCTCTCTCAACACTCAATAGGAGCCCTGGTAGTGCCCTGAGCCAAGCATTGGGCTGCTAACCACAAGGTTGGCCGTTCAAACCCACACTTCTGCAGAGATTTTCAGTCTCAGAAACCCTACATAGGGTTGTTAATGGAGTTCTGCTGTAAGATAAGCCCTGGACTGCAAGGTCGGTTTGAACCACAAAGTCAGTGGTTCAAACCCACAACTGTTCCTCAGAAACTATGAATTGGAGCTGACTTGACAACACTTAACAACAACAACAGGAGTTGGAATCGACTCGTTGGCAGTAGATTTGGTTTCCTGGACTTTCAACTTTTATAACACATAAAGGAGGAAGGTTTTGTTGTGATGTTTTCTGCTGAGGAACCCGAGGGAGGCTCTGAGAGTTGAGGCAGCTTTCTCAACACCTCATGGTCAAGAATTGGCTGAGCCAGGATTCAAACCCAGCTCTGTCTGATTCCGAGGCCCTGGGACTTGAACTCAGAGTCCCAGTCTCTTTGTTTGCAAAGCTGCCAGACTGATCCGGGAGAACCAGTTGAACTGGTTCACTGTCTCCAACCTAACCTATTGTTTTTACTTCTTCCTTCATTGGCCTGAAGCTGAGAATGCTGCAAAACAGAATGACTCTGTCCAATCATTTAAAGTTCAAACATTCAGAGGGGGGACAGCCCCAGTCACGAGATGCAGTCTAATTAACACTCATGAGAGTAAATATGCCAATCATGGCTGCCACGTGGTCAGCAGCCAACATCATAAACATCCTCCTTCAGCGAGCCCAGCACCCAAGATCAGACTTCCTGTGGGCTGTGGCTAGGTGGCCTACATCTGCAAAGATCTGTCCTGACAGTCTCTGGGCTCCAGGGGGCGCTGGACACAAAGTCAAAGTTGGTTACTCTACCGCTCCTGGTTTTAGGAGTTCTGGTGGTGCTGGGGTTTAAGCACGGGGCTGCTAACCACAAGGTTGATGGTTCAAGGTTCAAACCCACCAGCTGCTCCATGGGTAAAACATGAGGTTATCTGCTCCTGTAAAGACTTAACAGTTTCGGAAACTCTATGGAGAATAAGGTCATTGAGCTGGGATCAAGCCAATGGCTATGAGCTTTCCTCCTGGTTTGACTTTGTTGGGTCTAATATGTTTGCTTCTGAAGCCATTAACTCCATCTTTAGTAATAGTAATATTAATATTAGGCTTGCCACATTTATCAAATTTAGGATGGCCGATTAAATTTGAATTTCAGGTAAACAATGAGTGATTTTTTTAGCATTAGTACGTCTCAGACATTTCATGGGTATCCTGCATTTTGTCTGGTAATTAGGGTCAATATCATACCATCTACATGGAATCAAACCAATTCTGTAGCTCATGCTCTTTGGTTGTTGTTATTAAGTGCCATCGAATCGGTTCCGACTCACAGTGACCCTGTATAGGGTATCCGAGGAACAGCTGGTGGGTTTGAACTGTCGACCTTGTGGTTCACAGTTCAGTGATGACCCACAGCACCACACCAGAAGTCCATGCCCTTCGGTAATACACCATTATCCTTCTCCTCCCCACCCACTGGACCCCTGGGTCCTCCATCCAGGGTCGATGACTTCCACAGAGTATGCCCTGAGTGGTTCTCAGAGCCCCATGTTCAGAGGAACCCCGCACTTGGTTTGATGTTCCTCTCTTACCATCCTGACAATTTCCACACTCTTTTGAACAAGGAGCCCTGCATGTTGACTTTGCAATGCTGTTGTTCTTCTCCCCAGATGTCATTGAGTCTACACTAACCCATAGTAACCCCATGTGACAAAGTAGAACTACCCCCATCGTTTCCTAGGCTGGTGGCGCTGTAGACTAAGCACTGGACTGCTAATCACAAGGTTAGCAGTTCAAATGCAGCAGCTGTTGCTTTGGGAAAGCAACTGTAAATCCCATGAAGATGTACAGTCTCAGAGACCCTATAGAGGGTCACTATGAGTCGGAACCAACTTGATGGCAGTGGTTTTGGCTTGGGTTGACTCTTCAAGGAAGCAGATCACCAGGTCTTTCTCCCGCAAAGCCACTGGATGGGTTTGAACTGCCAACTATTTGGTTAGCCACTGTGTGCCTAAACATCGTACCTCCAGGACTCTGTCATTTTACACTGGACCTTGCAAATTATGTAACTTCTGCCTCCACCTGGTCTAGAAGTACATGGTGGGCTAGATACTTGCTTCCAGGGATCATCACTCCAGGGGTCTTGTCCCTGTGGACAGATGCCTTGCACCTGTCTGCTTTGTATTCCCCAAACCAGCTCGGGGACTTCCGGTCTCTGACTTCTGAGCTTCTCCTCACCCTAAGTACTAGTGTGGTTGGTGCTTACTTAGTTCTCCTTGCTGCTGGCCTCCACCTTCGACCTCTGTGTTCTCACAGATTCCTGCCTGGTTACCTGGCCCCAGAGTTCTTACTTTATCCCTATTCCTGTCCTCCTGTCTGTCTGTCTGCCAGTAGCCCCAGGGCCCCTCAGGGGCATGACCCCCACAATCAACTCTGACCTTTCCTGCCCTGCCATAACATGTATCTTCAGCCAGCCTCTACCCAGGTTCCGGGGGCCGACAGGATGGCCACAGAGCTGTGTAAACAAGCTCTAGATCTGTCCCTATTTGGGCAACTCCACAAGGGAAAATAATATGTCGCAGGAATTTCAAGAATGCAGAGCATCCAAAGAGTCCTTAGGCAGACTCTTCCTGCTGTAGACAAGTGTGCCCCTCAGATGAGGAGGGAAGACAGGGGCTTCACCCCAGGAGGGCCGAGTGTGGAGAAAGGAGGGAACACACAGGGATTGCAGGGCGAAACTGCTTATTTTATCATGAGGTGGCTTTCTTTGAATTGCTAAGAAGTGTGGTATGTGAATATTTATATGTGTTTATCTATGTATGTATAGGTATGCATGAGGGGACTTCAAAAAGTCATGGGAGAAAAATGGAACTAAGAGAGAATGGAATTTTTCCACAAACTTTTAAAGCCCCCGCCAATGTCTTTTGAAAACAATTATTTTACTCATGGGTCATGATGGACAACTTCTAAATCTCTCTGTGTGGGTTTTGTTGTATGAAAATCGGCAATGAGATGCCCTCTCACAAAGCAGCTATGATGGTTTAATGAAACCCAGCAAAGCTTCTAAAAGCCATGTGGCAGAGACCACCAAGGATCAGGCAGGACAAGGAGGCTTTTGAACCCAAACATCAGGCAGGACGAGGGGGCTTCTGAACCCAAACATCAGGCAGGACGAGGGGGCTTCTGAACCCAAACATCAGGCAGGAAGAGGGGGCTTCTGAACCCATCCTCTGAGGTTCCAAGCCTGGTTTTACTGTTTCCAAGCTATGTGCTCTGAACACTTCATTTCCCTCTTGACCTGTTTCCTCAACCATAAAATGACAGTCTACTTCATCCATCTTAACTGAGCTGTTGCTAGTTGTGAAGCACTTTGCTTCGTGCCCTGCACATCACGAACTTTCAGCAAACATCAGACATTAAAGGCTTCTCCCCTGTCCCCAGCCGGCTTGGGTCACACAGGAGGCAACAAGAAGAAAGCAGTTTGGTCCTACTAATGGGTGGTCTATGGGGTGCTTTGATCATTGAGGAGTCCCAGAGGGGTGCAAAATGGTTGATAGTTCAAGTCCATCCAGAGTACTTGAGAAGTAAGACCTGGTAATCTCTGTTCAAGAAATCGGCCCTTGAGACTCTAGGAGCACAGTTTCACTCTGATAGACATGGGGTCTCCAAGGGTTAGGGTCTTCTCAACAGCAATGGGTTGGTTTGGTTTTGTCAATTGAGAATTCCGTCAAAGCTGAGCATGCTCTGCAGAATGGATCTGCAGCGTAGAACTGTGCTCCCCAGGGTTTTCAGCGGCTGATTTTTCGTAAGTAGATCCCACTCATGGGATCCCCATATGTGTCAGAGTAGAACTGTGCTCCACAGGGTGCTCAGTGAATGAGCTTTGAGAATTAGATCACCAGGTCTGTCTTCTGAGGTACCTTGTCTTGGTGTGGAGTCGAGTCATTAACCTTTTGGTTCGCAGTGGAGAACTTCAGTACCTGTACCGTCTAGAGTCTCCTCTTATACCTGAGTGGTTTTATTTCTTTTGGATTATTCACCTCCATTAAGCAAAAGAGGTATCTTTTTAAGATTCTAGAATCTTAGGTCAATTCTCAAAAGTGGCTCCTTTCTCTAAACCATGTCATTTACTGTGAGTTCTTCCCACCTCACGGACACATCAGTCTTAACCCTCTGCACCCCTAGGGCTTCCTGGGTGCATCCTTGATGCCCCTCTTCTCTCAGGGCAGAGAAACATGGAAAACCAGAAACCACAGTGCTGACACTCAGCCAAACGACAGGAATGTTGCAGACGGCCTCTATTTCCCTGGGCAGCTGGAGCTGAGAGGTGGCCTGGGGTAGGCTGAGTGGAGGGCACAGGGACCCCCCCACACACACACACTTGTATGAGAATTGCCGCTCTTTATTATTCTTCTTAAGACTCCACAGCAGCCAGAGAACCTAGACAGGAGAAAGAGAGCTGGTGGAAGAGAGAGAGAGGAAGAGTGAAGAGAAACACAATTAAAAGCCCGCCTGTCTCAAACATGACCAGCTGAGGCCCCGTTCCGCCCTCACACACGCTCAGGGCTGAGATTAGTGCCAGCAGCAGGCAAGACAAGCTTTCTGGAAGCCGGAGGCATGCTCCCCTCAGCCTGACAGCCAGTGAGCAGTGAGGAGAACTGTGTACCCACAGCCCTTGGACCTCCCAGGATGGAGCAGCTCTACACCCCAACCAACCTCTGGAGGGAGAGCTTACGTTAAAGGAGCACCCATCACCTCCACCCTACCATACACACACTCACACACCACACACCCACATATTCTCACACTGACGTCCACAGACACACACACTCACACACCTGACACACACTCACACACCACACACACTCACATCACACCCCCCACATATTCTCACAATGACATTCACAGACACACACACTCATCCACTCACACTCACGTGTGTTCACACTCACATACACACCACACACACACACATGCACACACACACAGACGCAAACCCCTGATTGATCTGGCATGAGAAACTCGAGGAGTCACAGACAAGCCCCTCAGAGCCAAGCCTCCCCCAGGGCAGCATGGATGCTAGGCTTTCCACCCCCGTCCCTCGCCCTCAGCCGCTCAAGCGAGGTTTCCAGAGCTGCCAGCTATCCATAAAAAGCAAATCTTCCACCCGGGTTCAGTATTTTACTTGATGGTTCTGTTTCCATGGCAACCAGCCTTACAAGGCCTCATCACTGCTCTGTTATCTGACAAGGGGAACGTGGAAAAGACTGTGATGGGGAGGGCTGAGGGCTGAGAGCAGGCTGTGGAAAAGGCCTGACTGTGCCCGAGGGTGACACCATCTGGAGACTTTATGTCCCTCTCCTCGAGGACTGTGGTCCACACAGCGGGGCTCCCCCACAGCCTCCTTGGTTCCAGGTCCCCGTGAAGCAGAATATTCCCTGCTACAGAGCTGCCTGCCATCTTTGTCCCGCCCTTTCCTCTTCCTTCTTGAACTTCCTTGTACCTTCTTTTCCACTCATCCCTCCCAGCCCCCATTCAGGCCTTAAGGCCCCACCAGGCTTTAGAAAGGACACACAGGCCAACAAAATCACTGGCCCCTGGCTGCCCCAGGACCAGGGCTTCATAGCAGTTCTTCCCAGGTCAGTCACGGTCAAGAAAGCAAAACCAGACGAGACCCAAGTTGGTAAAATGCTGGCAACAACCAGGATGGCTAAATCATAGGCCAATGCTCTGACAGAGATGAAATCTCCCTCCTAGAAAACAAAGGCAGTGTTGCCCATTGCAAAGCAGCCGAATCTCTTGGTTGGAAGAGTCTGAAACAACGGTGCCCGGCTCAAAAGTGGCCGTGCCCACATGACTCTGAATGTGTGTTTCTCTGCACCGTTCTGGCAAGAATCCATTCTCCCACACCAGGCTCCTGAAAGCGTGTGCTACACCTCTTCTGAGTTTCATTTATCACCATTCTGGTACACTCACATTTTACCAGTTCACGTCTGTCTCAATTTTGCTGCGTCAGCCATGACTGAATCACTTCCAATTAGTTCAAAGCCCAGCCCAGGATAACGTTAGACAGAAACCAATCAAACCAAATCATCTAATGGATTTTAGGTTGGTTTATAACATGTTAAACCACTAACTGAAAGGCTGGCAATTCAAGTCCACCCAGAGGCACCTCAAAATAAAAGGACAACTCTACTTTCATAAAAGCAGCCATTGAAACCCTATGGAGGGCAGTTCTACTCTGACACAGAGTTTCCAAGAGTTGGAATTGACACAATGGTAATGACTGATTGGTTCCTTGTTATTGGTGGTGCTCAACCAGGGTGACTTGCCCCTTGGGGGGGACTGGCAACATCTGAATACGGTTTTGACGGTCAGAACTCAGGGGGCAAGGAGAGGAAGACACAGAGCTGTTGGCATCTCTAGCAGGTAGAGACCACACCACAGATGCTGTTAAACATCCTACAGTGCACAAGATAGCCCCCTGTCCCTACAAAGAGTGACCTAGCTCAAAATATCAGTCTTGCCAAGATTGAGAAACTCTGACTGGATGTTCACTGTGCTTCTTTAAATAAAAACAACAATGTAGCACACTGACCTTTCATCGGGAAAGGTGGCCTACACAAGGAAGCATTCTTTTAAAGCAAAAAGTGCAGGAGAATCATTGCAAAAACACTGGGATCCCAAAGCATTATGTATCATGTGGCTACAGTCTAAATCCAAAGATGGTTGGCCAAAGGCTTTAACCTTAGAACCGAGTCTTCTGGGAGTCAGGGACCTGGCTGAAGTTGTGAGAAAATGTCTGTGTATCCTTGGGTGGATCCCAAAGTCATTGGATTTTCAAAGGGGAAAATGACTCAGAAAGTTTGAAAGCCAGTGATCTAGAGTCCATGTGCTCTGACATGTATAGTGTCTGTCTTCCTCCAATATATCCTCCCTCTTCTAACCTTGATATCACAGAGCCTGTAGCCTTCTTCTCTTTGTCAGTTTCAAAGGGGAGATACAGATGCCCCAACAGAAACGAATAGATGTATGGATACCCATTCAACCTCAGAATCTGAGTTGGGCTCTGTCCAAAGTACACAGCTTCCACCCAGCACATCTGAGTGCAGAGACATACCTGGTTTACCTTCACTTCATTTGGATTGGTTACTCGATCCAGGCCATAGTCCAACACGTTGTTCACTCCTGGCTAAAGGAATAAAGACAGAGCATAAGGACCACAACAAAAAAGAGGTTTAGTTCCTAGTTTATATCAAGTCTTGGCCAAGCAACTCACTGTAAGGCTGAGAAGTCTTGGTGCCAAGCCCACAGGGAGTTAAGAGAGTGTGTAAGACCCACAGGCAAGCCAGTGAGGTCTATGGGGGTTGTTCTGTCGCCATGGCATAGTGGTGATAGACCTAACATAGTAGAATGAATAGATGGTTGGATGGATGGATGGATGGATGGATGGGTGGGTGGATGGGTGAATGGATGGGTGGATGGATGGATGGATGCATGGGTGGTTGGATGGATGGGTGGATGGACGGATGGAGATGGATGGATGGATGGATGGATGGATGGATGGATGGATGGAAGGAAGAACTGATGGAAGGGTGGATAGGTGGATGAAGAAAGAAAGGATGTATAGAAGGATGGGTAGATGGGTCAATGAATGGATGAATGGAAGGATAGATGAATGGGGAACAGATGTTGAGCAACACTCAAGCTCATCAAGATTTCAATGA